CAGCAACAGCAGCATGCGCAGTTGTAGATGCACTAGTCGTTGCTGTCGCTGCTGCTGCTGCTGCTGCTGCTGCTGCTGCAGCAGCAGAATCATTACAAGGCGCAACAGCTGCGCCCACGAAAGAGGGGTCCTGCTGCTGCTGGTTATTCTCAGTCCCCTCACTCGCTGCTGCTGCTGCTGCTGGTGCTGGTGCTGCTGCAGGATGCGTCTCTGCCTCTCTCTCATCTGCTGCTGCTGCTGCTGCTGCTGCTGCACTTGCTGCTGTGTCTTTACAGGGTACGGGCTCAGGCAGAGCCTTGATCTGCTGCTCTAAGAAATCAAAAAGCCAGCGCCAGATACGGGGCGGGGGCGACGGCGCCCACTCCTTGAGTTGTGGGTCCTGTGTATCAGGTACTTCATCTTCCCCTGCTGCTGCTGCTGCTGCTGCTGCTGCTGCTGCTGCTGCTTCTGTTGCTGCAGCTTCTGTTTCTGCTGCAGCCTCTGTTGCTGCTGCTGCGTCTGCTGCTGTCGCTTCGGCTGGGAAGGAAGATGAGGATGGCGGGCGATCTGCTCCTACTGCTGCTGCTGCTACTACTACTGCTGCTGCTGTTGCTGCTGCTGCTGCTGCAGATTCAGTAGGTGCATCTTCGCCGGGGCAAGAGGCACAGGACACGGCTGGCCCCTCGGTGGCCCCCATAAGGAGTGTGGGGAGGGGGCCCCCATGGGGGCCCCCCAAAGAATCCTCTTTGGGGGGCCCTGCTGGGGTTCCGTCAAGGGACTCTTGAGGGGCCCCCGGGGCCCCCCCGTCGGGGGCCCCCTCGGGGCCCCCCTCAGCTGCAAGGGGCGGGGGGGCCCCTGCTCCCTGGGTACAGAGCAGAGAACCACCGAAGGGGCCCGGCCGCAAGGCGGGCCCCACCAGCCAACCCTCTGAGACAGCGAACGGTGCAAAGCTCATTTAAAAAAGGCTCATTGAATTAGCAAGTGGTGCCCTGGGTGCCCTTGCATCGACGCTGGAGCAGCAGCAGCTGCAGCAACAGCAGCAGCAGCAGCAGCAGCAACGGCGACAGCGGCAGCAGCAGCAGCGACAACGAGGGCTACCTGCCGCCTAGGCTCTGAAAAAGATAGGGAAAACTGAATTCAATGAAGGAAAAGACAAACAACAAAACAATAACTGCTGTAGAAACAACAGGGAGAGAGGTCATCGGGGGCCCCTGGGTGGGGGCCCCATGCTGCTACTGCTGCTGCTGCTGCTGCAGCAGCAGCAGCAGCAGCATGGGGCCCCCACAGAGCGACTCACAGCGGCGCCAATCCCTGTTGTATTTTTCTTCTGTTTATTCTTTTAAAGAATGAAATGTTTATTTATAAAGAATGAAATATTTATTACAATTGAAACATAAACAGTTATATGTGAATATGTGGCTGTTTTATCTCTTTTTTCTTCTTGAGTTGCTCTGGTGAGTTTGATAGTAAAAGTAATAATATTTAATATATTAAAAAAAACAAAGATAACAACAGAGAAAATATGCGAGTTAGTATAAATTATATCAGACTGAAACTAAAAAAAAAAAAAACAAAAAAAACGACAGAGTCAAAGCAAAAGGGCTTATAGAACACAGCTTCTCAGATAAAGAAAAAATAAAAACGGCCAAAGAACAGCTGCAGCACAGCTCGCTGCAGGTGGTGTTGCACCGCAGCAAACCCCAGAAACAAACACAGACAAGGCCCTCTTGCTGCTGGCTGGCACGCACACTGTATACTGCTGCTTCACACTTATTTATATCTCCATACAAACTCTACACCAAATACACATAGACGTGCCCGCCCCCAACAAATATATATACATATATATATATATATATATATATATATATATATATATATATATATATATATAT